ATAATGAGGAATCCGCCCAGTACGCCCACTCCGCCCACTCCGCCCACTTTTTCCGTCCTGGAAAAGCTTTATTGCGAATGCAAATGAGATGCGTGCGCCCAAATTGAAATGGCAAATGTTGACAGCGCCAACACAGCGCCGAAAATTCAAAGTTAATCAACGAGATATTTATGTTGGAAGTGTTTGGCGAGGATGCGTTAACTATGCGAATACCAAGGAATCACCATCCATGAATACTCGAATACAAGCCACGTTGGATCAATAGGCCGCAGGAGTCAAGTGGGTTAGTCACTAGCTTATGGCTTACAAGTGGGGCCTTCTCTCTGGTGGGCTGATCAATAAGTTTGCCACTTGGTTAGGACTTTTGAAGGACTTTGGAATGTAGCAAGAATGCCCAATATATGTACATGGGTTTTTTGGAATTAGGTCTTGAAATATTGCATTTACAAATGTGAAATTGATGCCAGCTTACAAAGTTCCGAATGAATCCATAGCTTCTATCAAATTATTTCCAGATATAGTGTTCAAACCCACCTCTTGCGATTCCTTGCCAAAAAGTGCCAACTGCTGGGCCCGGCATAAACATATTTATGAATTTTCTATTCTGCATTGCGTTTTTGATTGTCATAAGTACGAGTATGAATGGGAATCCTGCGGAGGAGCGGGTTGGGAGTCCCCCAAGACGAGGCTCATTTGCATTGGCACTGCGAACGAAGATGGAGGCTGTGGAATGGATGGCTGGGGCTGATTAACATAAAATTAAGCGTTCGAAAGGCATGCGGCAAATGGGGTTTCGGAATCCGGAATGTGGGGAGTGGGAGTGGGAATTGGCGGTGAGGATCCGGATCCGGATCCGAATGGGAGTAGGAGAGGAGTAGGAGTCGTAGTGCTGGGCGCAGGCTGATAAGCCGAGGCGCGGCGATAAGCGCATTTAATTAGCATTAATTAAAGCGAATTGCGCGACTCGGCCGGGCGCCAAACTAACTAACAGCAGCTAGAGAAATAAACAGAAATAAACTGGAATAAATAGGGCCCAACAGCCGCGGGGCTTCGGAGCAGAGGCGGCACCAGAGAGTTGTGAAAGTGAGCCAATGGAAATGGAAATGGAAATGGCAATTGTACTTGGCAATCAATGGTTTTTGGAGCACGGCACGCGGCATGACAAATTGCGAATCGCTTTAGCTCGGCCTCCATCTGCCTCCATCCGTCTCCATCTGTCTCCATCGCCGAGTCTCCGTCTCCGTCTCCGTCTCCATCCGCCTCCAAGTCCAATCTCCATCCCACTGGGTGTCGCCCTCGAGAAGCGGATGCCGCGAGGCCGAGATGCAGGGACACTGGGAAGGCGGAGCTCAAGTCGTCGATACGCGGTAACGTCAAGTGTCATGGCAACAGGGCACAGTGGGACCAAAGTGGTTGGGACGGCGGGGTGGTGCTGAGGCCTATCTTCGAAGTATTCTACTTGAATTAATTAATATAACTTTAATAATTCACTTAATTAATTTAAGAACATTTAATTTAACTGAAACGTCTTAGAATGAATGTCTTGAAGCAGACTTTAGGTATTTATTGATGCAGCAAAAGCAGTGCTATAAAATGAAACCTAATAAATATGATATACCAAGATTCATATATTGTATTATAATTAATATATATACATATAATTGCAACAGATGTACTTGTGGATATTCCCACTAGTCTCAAAGAGGACGTGAAAACGCACCTGCTGGATCCAATCGGCTTCAGACCACTGTGCGTCTGTGGGAGAATGAAAGACAGCGAGAAGAAAGCGGATTGCGTAATACCTGCGGCATGACATAAAGCCGGTGGGCCGAGCGGCGGGCAAGGGGGAAGAATGGGAGGGGGGGAAGACTGGGACTGGACCCGCATAATTGTGTGGCTACACTTGAAGCCAAGTTAAGGGCCATCCCCCTCTCTCTCTCTCTATCTATAGCTCTTTCTTTCTGCCTGTCTGAGAAACTGAGAAACTGAAACCGAAACCGAAATTGTGGGCGAGGCCTAGGCGCAGCAGCTCCAAAAATAAAAACAAAAAACAACACCACATAAAATCAACAGCAGCATCAGCCCCACGACTACACCTCATGCCATTGGAATGCAATTTCACTTCTTTAAATATTTTACCAATTGTTTCTGTGCGTGCCTGCGGCTCTGAGTCTCCGGATCGGATTGGATGTGGATGTGGATCGGAGGCAGGTTCAGCTACAGATACAGATGCAGATGCAGACGCAGATACAAGTGCAGTGGAAGGTGCAACTGAATTATAAGCACGCTATTCTTCGGCGTTTAAAGCGGACGGAGAAAGGGCTTTGTGTCCCTGCAAAAGTAATTAATGTGGTAAAAACGATACAGTTTCATTATTTAAAACGATTAAATTGTCAGGCAAATTATTGACGGCCAATAAGTTTGGTTAATGCCAAACTCGACAGCTAGTCTTACAAAGCAATCAACTGAAATGGCTCTCCACTATAAAATAGTTTTACTATGCTTTATGGCAAATTGCGATGAACGAGATTTATGGCAAAGGGTATATTTAATATTTTCGAAGGAGGGTTTTCTTTTTAAGCAGGCATTTAAATTGCTAATAAAAATCGAAGCCGTTTGAAGATTTAATTCATCAGTTTGATAGCGAAATAAAGTACCACGTAATTCGCCTACATTTGGCCAGCGAAAGAAACACCCACGCGGGCTCAAAACTCTTGATAAAGAAAGTGATTTAGGCCACTTAGTGAGCAACTGTCAATAGAAAGTTTTATTTCCTTTCTTAACCTCCACCGATGGGCACTCATGTACACCAATCACGCACATCTGCATAGAAAATAATTCGTTTTAACCCTGAATATCTAACCAATTGCAGAGAATTGGCAGTGCGGCTCGGAAGGCTCCTGCTGCAATCGCAGTTTGTCTTCACTTTTCGGACCCTTATCACCAGCGAGCCGGAGGGCTCTTTCCAATGAACCCATTTGGAGCCCGAAACGAAAGTAGCCATCAACGCAAGACTCGAGGAAGTAAAAGCGCAAATAATTGCGACCGACCAAAAACAAAACCTATACCTTTGTGCATACCCACACAACCTTGCGGATAGATATAGATACAAATATATAGTACATACATTCGAGGGGATATTTTAACTGTGTAATGACAACAGCAGCAGCGGGCAACAGATGCGGCCAAAAATACTGCCACTTAGTTGAATGTTGCTGCTGCTGCAACTGGTCGCATGCGGCACCCGCAAGATGCAACAGCAGGAAGTCCAAACTTGGCAGCAGCAGCAACTGTGAAGTAACCTGGCCAGGAGGCAAGGGGGTCACTAGTCGCCAAATGGAAGGCGTCTGGCGACTTGCGAATGGATTCCAGGCATACCCTAACAGGGGGTATACTCATCCGAGGACAGCTTCAAGTAACTCGGTTATCGTAAAGTTGCAAGTACTCGGAATTTATCTGTATCTGCATTGGTTTTAGCCAAAATCTTTTGTATTTTCACCTGTGAAATATCCATTTTCGCGGCAGGGTATTTAAATGTCATCCGCCCTAAGTGCAGAATGCCTGTCTGGTTTCCAGCTGCACTGCGTCAATAAGGGAGAAGGAGTGGACTCCCATTTTCAATCCCCGATTCGAGAAAGCCAGCGCGTTTCTCTCCCGTTTTCTGGGTTTTCTGGGTTTTGTTTTGGCTGGAGAGTCTTGAGATGGCCATGACGATCATGGTGATGATGCTGATGATGCTGCTGGGATGCAGATGAGAATGGCGATGACTGTGCTGATGAAGATGGAGATGTTGACGATGGTGTGGCTGCCGTGGCAAATACAAATTCGGAGAAAAGAGTGGCCCCAGAAATGCAAATGAAAGCGAAATCGAGTCACGCGAAGGCCGCACATCTCCATTTCCATTTCCATTTCCCGCAGCTGAAGCCGAAATGCCCCTTTGTTCGCCAAGATGAAAACTTGATCTCTCTGGCGGCTGCCACTTCTTCAACGAGTTGAGAGCCGAGGCACTTTTATGACTCAACTTTGTGGAAAGCAGGGGGCAAAACCCAATAAAACCAAAACAAAAAACAGTTCCACTATCGCACATTGTGGCAAGTGTGTTGACATGGTTCTACTGCCGCTTGGCCCATTGAGCTCTTGATTTGGCAACCTAGAAATCTGGCAAGACCTTCCGAGTAATCGGGTAATTGCAGTGGAAATTATGTAAATTCCACCGCTGGTTGTGTTTTAGAAGAGAATTTTACTTAGCAGCTTAAAAACGAAGAAATCTTATCAACTCTTTTTTACTGATTTATTCTAAAGTAGGTTGCAATGAAGTAATTATCAAGTGCGGCTGCAAATATATGCAAATAGAAGTTCTTACCTATATTTGAGCACAGAGCAAAAAGGCATTTACGTTTGTAGGAAATGTAGCGGAAAATGCCGCGTTTTTCCACACAAAAGCCACTCGAAAGCTAAATAAGTACGAGTGTTGGTCCAGCCCATTTGCAACCCATGTGAAACTGCCTTGTTGGCCACCATGAGGAAGCGTTCGGCTTGGAAACCCATTAAGTCAGTCGTGTTTACATTGGCCAAGAGCCCCAGACTGAGCCACTCAAAAATCACCACTCGAGTCGTTGTTCAAGGCAAGGCTCTGAACTTTGACAGGATCCTCAACTTCGACTTGCGAATGGCACTTGGCATCGCGAGGCTGCGACTGCGGACTTGCCCCATGTGGCAAGGTTGCTCCCAGCGCCGCGCTGCCAAGGTATCGATGTGAAAACGTTGCAAAACTGGTCGCGAGAGCGGGAAAAGCTCTCAGCCTCAGCTTCAGCTTCATCTTCATCTTTTTCTGTCCCTTAGACGCGGCACCTTGCGGGTTTACGAAATTTCCTCACTTTCGGTTTCGATGCGGACTGGGGACTCGGATTCCGATTCGGATTCGGATTGGGAATCGGTTTCGGTTTCGGTTTCGGTTTCTACAGCGGCTGCGCGGCGGCAGCGCCGTCGGCGTCCAGCGGGCTATTACCTATATGAGCTGGCGTTATCATCTGAGCGGCAGCATTTTCAACTCGCGACTGACAAGCAGCGGTCGCCGTCGCCGACCCTTTGGAGAGCTATCAGATCCGAGATCTGAGCTTAGAGATCCCCGTACGATCCGTACCGATTCGAACCGTTCCGAACCGATCCCGTGATCCGTTTCGGGAGTGCCGCGCTTAAATTGCATTTTTTTTCTATTTTTTTACGATTTTTTTACGAGCTACGGATCCTTTTTGTGTGCAGTGCCTTCCATAAGCGAATCGAGTTAACTACACTTTTTGTTCGAGTGCTTTTGTGCCGAAGGATAACCCACACCAGCAGCTGGCATGGTAACGAATCGCTTTTCTAATTGGACTCGAGTGCAAAGGATTACGGAAGAAACTCAAACGCAAGCCCAATTAGCAGAAAAGTCTATGAGACCTCGGGGAAATGCCGGCGAAAGTAAAAGTTATCCGACCCCTTGGGTGCCCAATAGATTTGCCGAAACTTTGAAAAAACTCCAGTGCACGGAAAACAAATGGGGATTATTCTAACTGCAAAGTGTGCTAGTGCAAATTATAGCTCAATAGCTTCCAGTAGTCCCAAAATTAGACAAACCTCCGAGATCTCAGTTCAGGACATAACTCCTCTGGTTTCCGTGCAAGTAGACCTTTTTTTTTTGTGGGTGGGCGCGCCTGCGCCTTGGCCCTTTGACCTTGTGACACGACCTCTGCTAATTGATGAGGGTCGCCCCGGGCTGGTCCAAGCTGGAATTGATGCAGGACCTGGATTGCCGGGCAAATCCTGGCCCAGATTATTCATTTGCTGCCAGGAGTTGGGCGGTAGCGGGCCTCCTGTCTCCGGACATAATTTATTCATTATCGAAATTGATTCATAAGTAATTTCGCATTCACATTTGCCCGCCGCTGTGCGCCAAACTGGTGGGGGAAATTTAATTAACGCAGATTACGATTCCCGACTTTTGGGCACTGAACAGGCAGCTGTGGCCAAAACTTGGGGCCCATCCTCCCAGCTTCCCAGCCGGCAACCCAACCCTTTTGGGCCGGCTCAACTTTTGCCTCGTTTCTGGGCTCGAACTGAATTTACGTCTTCTGGGCGAGAGTGAAAGTTTTGCCGGCCGTCTGTTTGTTTATATGTTATGTTGTTTTCTGTTGCTGTTGTTGCTGTTGCCTGGGCTTTATTTGTTTGCCGTCTGCCGTTGTTGTCAATTGTTTAGCATCAATAACAAATATTTGTGGGCTATGCTAATGAGCAGAAATCGAACGGCGGCCAAAGAAAGCGGTGACTGAAGCGGTGACTGAAGCGGTGACTGAAGCGGTGACTGCAGCGGTGACTGAAGCGGTGACTGCAGCGGTGACTGAAGCGGTGACTGAAGCGGTGACTGAAGCGGTGACTGAAGCGGTGACTGCAGCGGTGACTGAAGCGGTGACTGAAGCAGTGACCGCCCGCAAACGGTGACCAGTGACAGGTGCTCAATTGTGGGTCGCATCTAGTAGTTTTCTAGTTTTCCTGCGCGTTTGTCCAAGCAAATAATTTGTTAATTTAGCAAGGCCCTTAATAGATATAAAAATATGTACATGATATTTACAAGAACTGCATTTGCACGAGTTCGTACGCGACCAAGTGGCTTAGTGACTCGCATACGGGCCGAAAAGCCGCTCCACAATGGGCTGGAGCTGCAGGTGGTGGCCACATGCGGGTCACTTCACACGGCCCACAGACAATGGGCACCGAACACTCCATTACCAGCAGCACCTTTAATTGTTTGCCATTTCTTTTATAATGTATTTTCATTATGCGGCGCATAATTTCACTGCCAACATTTGTGACACCTACTCATCCCACGAAGCGCACCTCACAGATACGCAGATGTATCTACATGGAAATAAAGAGATACACCCGGCGGAGCCAAGTGAAAGTTACCTCTTCGGCGCGTCTCGTTTTTACTTGTATTTTCGTGTCTTCTTCTCCGTTTCGACCGCTTATGACATTTTAACGCCGCCGCTGGCCAAAAAGTAGAAAATAAAAGTCCCAAAAAACCCAAAAAAACCAAAAAACCCAAAAGCGAAAAGAAGTAACTACACACTTTGTGGCACTCGTATTCAATGCGCATCGCTGACCATTGAGGTGCACTTTTCCATTTCCAAAGATTGCTGATTGCCCGCATTATGCAATTCAGAAAGAGGCGATGCGATCATGGCAAGTGGCATAATAACTTGGCTATTACAGTGGGCTGTAATGGTTTTGGTTCTGTTGAAGTTCGATTTTCTCCTCTTAGTATTTGCATAAGAGCAGATTCACTTGGGATTTTACCGAAGCAATAGCAAATATTGTGAATTACCAGGAAATACCAGAAGTGGTCAACACAAATGCCCATTATCCAACTGTATCTACAAAATCCATGATTCATCGAGTGCAATTCACTCGTCTTCAGGATACCTTCACCTCTTACGTAACGAAACCATCACTTTCTTATATAAGGGCATTCCAGCTTCGTCACCTTTTTGCGGTCGAACGCGTGGCTTTTGCCACTTTTATTGGCATTACCACCGGCTAAATCGCGTGTTGTGCGTGGAATTTTGAAAGAAGCGCCGTTTTGAGCGCGTTATCGTTTTTCTCTGGCCCGTTTTGATTGGCTTGTTTGCCATTGTTGTTAAACATAAAACCAATTAAATAGCCAACTCCCCCCCGCCCGCCGTTCAGGCATTCAGACTTGGTCAATGGTTATTTTCGGTTATTACGGTGATTCTGTTTTGGCCTTTCAGTTGTTGCCACTTCGATACTTATTTAACTGACACGAAGTCGCCACTCGCCTGCTGAATAATTGATGATCATGATGTGCGGCGACATCCGTAAGCAAAGTGATGATGATCATGATGATCATGATGACGATGGTGGCCAGTCTGACCGGGTTATGTTTTAATTAGAGCGTAATACGCCAACGTTTTCTGGGCAACCGCAATGCCAATTACACCGCGCAACAAACTTGGCCTTAATGGACTAATTAGCGCCTCCTCCGTTGGCCGAAAAGCAATTCATGGCAAGTGTTTTGTGGCTCCTGAGCATTTAGCAATGTATTTAAGATATTATTATTTCGCTTGTAAAATGAATAATTTAAATGCAATACCACTCTATGTGTCTTGCAAAGTTTGGCAATGAAAGCGTTCAAAGTTCAGCAGTTAATGCAAATGCAAGTGCTATTTTTCGGCTTAAATTATATTGTGCCTTGCTGCACAGTGTTTCCAGAGAGCCAAGTAAGTCGGGCGGGTCGTAGGTTGCAAATTAGCGCACATAATGGCCACATACTTGGGCATGGGGCTGGAATTAGGGTGACCCACACACACTCGCCAGCACACGGAAAACGACACCTGGCTGAAACGGCGAGCGAATTGAGGGCCTGTGGGCTGCGACCTGTGACCCCTGACCTCTGACAGGCCTTGGCAAGTTGGCGGCGCCCAAAAGGTCACCGAGACAGCTAACAAATGGGCAGCGGTTAAAAGGGGTTGTGGCCAGATGACTGAGATGGTCGAGATGGTCGAGGTGGCCGAGATGGATGTCAGCTGGAGACACTTTGTGCGGATGCCACTCAATGAACATTACGATGTCGGCTGGCCGACTAACCCGTTGTATTACAACTCTTTCTGTTGCCATCATTTGTTACATTTATGAAGAAACAAGTTGGCCAGCGATGCACTGACTTTAGAAGTGTATCTGAAGCTTATACGCGCTTGCAGTTATGAGATACTTTTGCTGGGGCATTTATTAATCGAGTTAGAAACAGCAAACGTTTGAGGATCTTGCGCTTTATATTTTATGTCTTAAGTCAAAGAAATGGGCTGAATCAATAGAGAAAAGGGACATAAAGGGGTTCCCAGATTTCCCCCTACGCCTCAAAATTAAGAAGAGTTATCAAATTTTGTAAACTGGATTCTCTGGGCTATGTTGCTCCTCGGAGGAGCTTGACTTCCGGTCCAGTCGCTCGGGGCCAGCTACTCCCCGCCAGGTGCTATCTTGACCAACGACTGACCCACATGTACCGCTCCTTCCGCCCGCAGATGCTGCTCCGCCTGACTTTGCTGACCTTGCTGGCCGCCTGCTGCTTCTGCGCCGCCCAGGCGGTGCTGCACGGCAAGGAGGTGAAGCGCCGCGAGGCAGGATTCGACACATACGGCCCGCCGCCACGCCCCGCCCCGCAGTACGGACCCCCGCCCCAGCAGCAGCACGTGCCCCACCGGGAGTACGGCGTGCCGCAGCAGATTCCCTTCCGGGAGTACGGACCGCCGGCCATCAAGTACGGGCCACCCAAGCTCAACTTCCTAAGCGGCGGCGGCGGAGGAGGCGCTGGTGGCGGCAGCTCGCTGCACGAGCAGATCAAGACCCACTTCGGAGTGCCCAAGCCCTTCTACGGACCGCCGCACATCCAGCACAAGCCCGCCCCGCAGTACGGCCCACCACCACCGAAGCCGGCGCCTCAGTACGGTCCACCCCCGCCACAGTACGGGCCACCGCCGCCGCTGAAGATCCAGCACCGCCCGGCCCCACAATACGGACCACCGAAGCTGCAGTACGGTCCGCCACCACCACCACCACAGCTGCTGCCCTCGCCGCACGCCGCACCGCTCTTCAAGCCCGCCCACCAGCCAGCCACCTCGTACGGACCACCTGCCTCCGGACCGCTGAACCTGCCGCCCAAGCAGATCTTCGACGCCCCGCCTCCCAACTACGGACCTCCTCCACTGCCCGTCGCCCTGCCCGGCAGCGGAAACGGAAACGGACCCGCCACCACCATTATCCTGACGGGCGGACACTCCAGGCCAAGTGGCCCCAGTGGGCCCGGCCCGGTGAAGCAGGTGCAGATCCAGATCGACTCCTCGGGACACACGCACAGTGTCAGCGGATCGCAGGCTCCCTTCCACACGGCCTGCGACGGCTGGAAACCGATACCGGCGCCAGTGGGCGCCTACGTGGAGCAGAACCACATCGAGACGCAGGGTGGCTACAGCCAGGTGGCCCAAGGACATGCTGGAGCCTCCTTTGGCACGCAGTACAGCCTGGGCGCTGGTGCCACCGGAAGCGGCAGTGGTGGCAGCATCATCGACGGACTCACTGACGAACAGATCGTGGCTGTGGCACTCCAGGGAGGCGCCGATGGAGCCCATGTGATCACCGGACCAGCAGGCAACTCCATTGAAGCGGAAGCCTTGCAGGTGGGTTGGATATTAGCCAAGTGCTTATCCCTAATTAATGCCGCTCTATTCACAGGCCGCCATTGGTTCCCTGGATGACTCGTATTCCAAGCCTCCTTCGGATTCCTTCGCTCCCGGCTCTGTGCATGCCCAGAAGTACCAGACCATCGGACACTCCGGACCCCCACCACCACCAATTGGTAACTTTGGACCCCCACCACCACCAGTTGGTAACTACGGGCCTCCACCACCACCACCCAGTGGAAACTACGGACCTCCACCACCACCCAGTGGAAACTATGGACCTCCACCACCGCCCAGTGGAAACTATGGCCCTCCACCACCGCCCACTGGAATCTACGGACCCCCACCACCCCAGTTCGCAGCCCTCACCAGCAGCAGCAGCCACGCCCACTCGCAGTCGCAATCCAATGTGAACATCCAGTACGGACCGCCCTCCGGCAATCCGCAGCCCTTCCCGCAGCACGGAGCCGGCCAGCCCAACAAGCCGGTGGCCTACCGTCCACCCGTGCCCGCTGGGCTCCTGGAGTCCATTGGAGCCACCGTCCAGCATCTGGACCAGTTCGGCGTAAAGCCGCAGCAGCAGCCCCAGACCTATATTCCCCCCGCGGCCAATGAGATTCCCGTTTCCGGATCTGGATCCGGGCCACAGCCACTGCCTGCTCCACAGGCCCTGTACCAGCCACCACCCGCACCATCTGCGCCCCAGTTGAACCTGCAACAGCAGCTGCCTGCCCCACAGCCCGGTCCCGCCTTCGTCCACCAGAAGCCGTTCGGACCTCCGGGACCACCGCCCCCACCGGAGCCCCAGTACCTGCCACCACCTCCACCGGTGGCCAGTGTGCGTCCACTGGGACCACCACCACCGCCAACCCAGCAGTACCTGCCCGCCGCGCCGTCTGGACCGCTCTTCTTCCAGCAGCAGCAGCAGCAGCACCTCCACGCGGAGAACAGCTACAGCGCCTCGCAGTTCCACTCCCAAGGACTGCCTTTGCCGCAGCAGGCGCCCCGCTTCAATCTGCAGCAGGTGCAGCAGCAGCAGCAGCCCATCATCGTCCACGACTGCGGCCATGGTCCGAATCTGGTGAGCAGCAATGGCTACCAGGTGCAGCAGCAGCAGCAGCAGCAGCTGCAGCAACTGCAGCACTTTGGCAGCGTCTCCGCCGCATCCGCCGGCGCCTACAACGCCATCTCGCAGAGCATCCCAGTGGCGGAGCAGCACACCCAGCAACTGGTCACCGTGCCGGCGGACAGTTATGGTCCGCCGCCATCCGGAAACGACTTGGACTACGATCCCACCGGCTATGCATCGCAGAAGAGTGCGGTGGCAGCCCTGCCCGACGGCACCGATCCCCACCAGCTGCCCGGCCTGGACGGACTCGATGTCCTGTCCGCCCAGAAGTCGCAGAGCATCCAGCTGAACGGACAGCAGCCGACGCAGAACTTCCAGGTGCAGTTTGGCGGCTCCCTGAACAATGCGCCTGGTGTCGCCCACGGCGATGCTAACCACGAGGAGATCCTGTCGCAGGGTCTGCTGCAGTCCATCCTCACGGCCATCGAGCAGCCCGGCCAGCAGCAGCAGAACCTGCCCCAGAACCACAAGGCTCAAAGTCGCTCCGACGAGCACGAGCACGAGGATCAGGATCAGGATCAGGTTAACGCCGAGGAGAACGACAAGGAGCCAGAGCAGGCGATCAGCTCCTCCAACCGCGTGGAGGTGCGCGTCCTGCCGGAGAATCCCGACAACGAGGAGGAGACCCCCGCCGAAGTCAAGGAGATCGAACCGATCGTGGTCAACGAGGAGGAGGCCAAGCATTAGTCAGTCACTAGTTAGCATCGAACTCATCAGCGCCGCTTGAACCTATTTATTGCTGCCTCATCATCATCAACCAGGAGCTGAGAGCTGGGAGCTGGAGCTTGGAGCTCCAACTGTCCCCCAGTTGCCATAAAGTGAAAGTCCAGGGGACAGGGAAACAAAGAGAACCGAGAAGCTACCAGGCGGATCGACGTGTGAAAAGTGCCTTTTCATGCTCGCAGCTCGTGTATAAAAGTATCTAAAGTTATTTAAAATAAATAATTAATTTATTATAGCATTGTATTGTATTTTATGCCCTAAACAACAAATAAACATGTGTGTATACAGAGAAAATGCAGAGGAAAGCCGCCGCGAGTGCAAGTCATCTCTGAAATCGCAGTCATTGGCCCACAAAAAACCCGCGAAAAAACTGCAAAAACCAAGGCAAATGGACTGGGCGGCCGAAAGGGGGCGTGGCCACTGCAAGTGTTACCAAAATGACTGATTCGCAGTGATTAGGGAGTTAATATTGCAAAGTAACCAGCCTTCATTCTCCAACAAATAAAGCCAGTAAATGTTTGCCTATTTGCCGATTTGGTCTGTTTTATGAGTACATATTTATTGTCTTGCCAAAATGACGCGGAATTAATCGTTGGCTATTTTTTCGCGCTCTTCCCTAACACCGAATGCTTAATTAATCATTTTTTGAGTTTGGGCCAATATTCTAAAGGGTTGCGAGCTCAAGTTTTCCCACGCTCAATTTCGATTCCGATTCCGACTCCTCTTCCAATTCCAATTCCATTTTAATTCAATGACATCCGCATCCGTATCCGCATCCGCATCCGCATCCGCAGAGCAGTGAATGGCCGCCAAAAAGCAACAAGAAACAATAAAAGACATTAAATTAATTAAATTAGCCATAAACAAAGAGAAAGGTGATTAATTAACTAGAAATTTATACCGTTATATAACCGAGCGAAAAAGGCATGAAAGACGTGCCCGACTTCTGGGGCCGAGCTCCACCCATTGGGTGGTTGGGTGGTTGGGCGGAGCTCCGCCGCCTTATTTACCCATTCATTAATATTTGGTTGCTTCAGTTTGGGCCTCGCCTTGCTACTGATTTCGTTTCGTACGCCTACACTGAGCGCAACAACGCCCGAGTAACTCAAGCACTTGAGCAAAACCTAAGCACTGAAAATATTAGTTACTTAAATTGAATTTTGAGCCGAGTGCAAGAAAACGAAAACTTAAACACGGCAACTATTATTTGTTTAAATTGAATACCAGACTGAATACTCGACTAGAGATCAATGTTTTCTTGCTGTGCATTTTCCGACTTCTGCTTCATTTTTGCCCCATTTGCGTCCACGTAGCCGCTACCTTTGTTTGCCGAGGCGTCGAAGGGAACCAGCGGACGGAAGGCTCGTCAGACGGACAGAATGACGGACAAACGGACAAACGGACAAACGGACGGACAGATGGAGGCCAATGGGTAGTTCGTGGACGGAGGCAGCAGTTGGGAACGGTCCGCTGGCGGGGCTTTCATTCAGTTTGCGCACTTTTAATTAATGTTATTAAAAAGTCAAAATGAGCAGCACCTAGATGGGCTTTGTGGAAGTGCGGAGCCCTATTTTCGTGGGTTCGCAAAAGCAATTGGATGCAATTCAAACGAATAAAGTATTTTGGCGAGAGGCAGACTCGGATTTACGGCCATTTTAATTACTGTATTCCCCGGCTTACTACAATTTCGTGTGGCAATTAATATTATAAGGAATATCGGTCATAGCTAAAAGTGCATCATTTTCAGCGCGAATTTAATAAGCAGCTTCCAATTTGGTAGAGGCAAAACTGACTGTTTGCAGACGGGAAAAGGCGAAGTAGATGGCTTCTTCGATCACCACTTGGCTAAGAACTGAAATGGATTTGATGTAAATTGCACTTCCCAGCGCCACAAATGAAGGCTGTAATTTGTAAGCGAATAATTCCCTTCCTTTTCCGAAACACTGTGAATCGCAATTCAGGCGGAGGCAAGTGGACAAGTGTTGCATGTACTTGCTGATTCTCACTTATTTCCATTAACTTTCGCAGTTTGACTTTCGTCATGGCCATTGCCACTCGGCGATCGGCTGCCAATTGTGTAAATTTGTCATTTCAGTCAGCGAAAACGCGAAAAATGTAATTTGCAGCAACAATCGGGGGAAAGTGGTATTTTGATTAATCGTCGATTTGCATGCGAGTGCGGAAATGCCGCAAAAGTCCAGCCAAGAAAATCAATTCGCGCAAAAGGAGCAAATGAAAAAGCATTTTGTTTCCACACTCTTTTCGAATGCCCTTCAGATACATACATATATCACGCCATTCCATTTTGATGGCCAGCCAAATCTTCCTTAGACATTGAAAAGCTCAAGAAGCCATCTTTTGCTTACCTGTTTTCAAGGTCCACTGTGCTGTCACTCAACCCTGAGCTGCAGGGTATGCCAACAGCTTCCTGCAGGACGAAACTATAGAGTTGGGAAAACCAGACTGAACGAGTGGTGAAATAAAAATAAAAGTAAAAATACAGATACAAATAAATATAAAAGGAACTACAGCAGGCGTAAAACGGAAGCGTCCTGAAAATGGTGTTGATTTTTCAGCGTTTATTGTTGTGTTTTTTGCGCTCCTCCTGTGCTCCTGATTTTATTTACCGTGCGCTGCTTTCGAAGGGCTGCTCGTCCTGTTCACAGGACGTATGCGTAATACGCATTACGTATACGCACAATGCGCGCGTATTTGAACGGCAGCTGAAAACCGCGGGCATCGCTGGTGTTGGATGCGGAATGCGAAGTGTTTGTCCAGTGCGGATCGGTTTCTTGGCCACTTTTATTTTTGGCCGGCTTGGGGGCGGCAATCGAGCAAATGGCTCGCCTACTTCTGCAGTGCTGGGTGTTTGTTTGCTCTGGTCACGCAGAAATGGGGCGACCCTAATTACAGTTAATTGGTGCCTGGCGAGGGCGAGGGGGGGGCGCCTTCCAATGGGCGCTGCGCAGGCTGATGGGCGAGGCTTATACGCACTGCGCGACAGGGCAAAAATACACAATTTTCCACTTTGTACTAATCAAGAACTCATTATCCTTCATTATGCCTTTCAAGCTGCCGTGTCGGCGGCGTCCTTCCTCCCACCAAGTGTTCCCCCCTCCTAATGTCGCTGCAATTGCAGCTTGCCCCGCACACTGAGGAAAAAATTCGATCAGCTTCTCAAGCTGCAAATTGAGTGGCAGTTCGTAGTACAGCGCTTCAGCCGCCCTTTGGCTTTTTGACCTCCTGGTGCATTTCTCACAGTGCACCCTCCCTACACTACACACTATCCTTTGCCGGCTCCACGGGAACCATCATTCATGTGGTCGGTCACTCTGGTTTGGCTGGCGGACTCCCATCCGCAAGTGCTGCGCTTAAATTATGCACAATTTTATAAATGCCACGGCGAATGTCGACACAAATGCACCAGGCCGATGGCCAGGGGATAGGTGCTGGCCAAGGGGCTCCAAGGAACACATGAGCACTTAGCCAGGACGTGACTGCGGTCAGCATAAATAACAGGTCAAGGCGCTCGCTCAGCCGCGCTGAAGAACAAGGACTCCAAGGACCCCAGGGACTCCAAGGACTCCGGCTCATGCGGACCTCTAACCGATTACACCAGTTCTCCGGGGATGTGGATGTGCCATATTTCCTGCCCGTCTGCAGCTCTCATGGTGGGGAATTCATTTAAGGCGCTCCAAGGCTGTTAAAAGTCAAATTTCCCTCCGAGTTGCATTATGTTTAGTTTAAGGCAGATAAGGATTATAAATATAATCGGGTTGTCTGACTTGAAATTCCCACTGATCAAAACTAAACAGCTAACTAGGCAAATTTCCCTCCGAGTTGCATTAGGTTAACTTGAAGGTAGTTAAGGATTATAAATACAATCGGGTTGCCTGACTTAGTTCAAAACTAAACAGCTAATTAGGCGGTGCTGGCTTTTTGGGACTGCCATTGTTTTCCACCGCGTTAATCATGGTATTTCTGCATTGTAGGTGCTAGGAATGCTGCCTTAAAAGGCGCCACATAAGGACACACAGCTGCTTTAAGCACCTCGACCGCGGAGCATCAATAACCGGGCTTACATGGCGTAAGTGCTGCCCGAGGCAAGGACCTCGGCGAGTCCTTGTGCTGACCCAGTGCGGCGCCGTGTCAATGTGCCTTTAATGAACGCATTTATGCCAAATGGCTCTCGGCGGGGCGGGGCGGGGCGGGGCGGGGGCACAGGAAGAAGGAAATATTTTTCCCGGCAGGACACTGGGAGGCTTCGAAGGAGCGAAATGAAAAGCGCTAATAAAGTGCACTTGTCGCCGCGGAAAAGGCGAACAGCAACAACTAATGGCCATTGGCCAGCAACAGCAACCTCCTGACCGCCCCCTTCTCCTCTGGCTCGCAGGGGCAGGGGGCGTGGCGCAGCCTTGTTTACTGCTGGCCAAAAAAAAGAGGGACACAGGGCGGGAAGCGTTTCTAATTTCAGGCGGTGGCGCATAAATCTTGACTCCTGGCAAAAGGAAGCCAGTGAGGCAGCCAGGCAAACAGGCAAGCAGCCAGCTCCCCATTGTCCACCCACTGCAGTTGGTTAAAATTATTGTTATTGCTGCGAGTGTTTGTTAAAATTTTGCAATTAAGTTTCAATCCCGGCAGCCAAGGCGTCCATTACAAACCGTTTAGTTGGCCATTCGATGGCGCAGCTCCAGTCCGCTCCACTCCGCTCACCCGATGCCCAAGATGAGTGGAGCTCATGCATTTATTCATTTCATTTTGTTTAAGTGACCTTTTGGCCCGGCCGCGCGTGACCTTTGACCGGGGGCGCAGGTGGGATGTTTAATGACTGCACGTAGTCGCATGTGTGAAGTGCGTGTTTGTGTGCTTGTGTGCTTGTGTGCTTGTGTGCCTGGCACACTTCATTAAATGCGCATATAATTTGCAACTCGCACTGAACTTCGAACCCGCTTTTAATTGCCCACGGCCAAAAGGGCACCGTGGAAAAAGCAGTGGCACCAGGTGGCCCAAATGAAGCCCCAAACTACCAGCTTAAATTTACTTGGTGCTATTTATAATTTCTAGCCATCTAAAAGGAGAAAACTGCCGATTTGATTTCGATTCTTGCAAGTTCTTTTACCTGTTACTTTCCAGGAAAATCTGTCCGGATAAACAGCCTTTTGCTCCACGGTGCGCAAAGCCACCTTTCTTGGCTGCCCACACTCACACTCAACCATTACTTTGATCCCCGGGGCTTTGGCATTCGCCCCTGGCCATTTTGTAGTTTGTTTTATTGCAATTGCATTACAAAGTCGCAGCTGCTGACAAGTTAGGTGTAGGGGGGGGCAAGGGGGCTCGGCGCCCAAAATGTTATTCATAGCCGAAGCGGAACAAACGCTTATTACACCTTTTAATTGGGAATTTATGGCAGACTTGAGTGGATGAACGAATGGCGAATGGGCGGTGGGCGGTGGGCAGGCGGTTAATTTACAGCTGGGCGGACAATGGGTGGGTGTCCTTGCATGCCTTTGCTTGCCACGCCCACCTGCCGACTGTGAATTTGTGTCGCCCAGCTCGCCACTTCGCGGGATAAGCAAATAATCCCCTTATAATTAGCAGCAAGCAGGACAAAAAAGAACGTTGACAACGAGCCGAAGGCCCAAGGACAACAACAGGCCGCCAAGTGGTTAATGTTGAGCAAATTATTAAATTTTCGGACCGCGGGGCGGGGTGGGGGGTGGGCGTGGCCTAGGCCATAAAAAGATTAAGCAGGCGAGCGGCGTGTTAATTTATGGCCAACAAATATGCTCGACAAAACGTTTAAGCAAGCCTGCAAAAAAGGACTCGCCGCCGAAAGCCAAGGCCGCCTGTCCTTTGTGTGGGGTCAAAAGGGGGCGGTGGTTGGGTGGCGGTAAGTTCAGTGGCAGGTGGCCGTAGTCGCTTAGACCCGCTTAAAAAGTTGTAAAATTTGTTCAAATACTCGAGCGCGTCGAATAAAGAAAGCATGCGAAAAATTAAGCGAGCGTAAATAATATAAAAAGCATCGAGAAATGGACAATGTTCGGCGAAATGGCGGCATATTCCTGGCTGGAAGGACTAAGCAGATGCCAGCTGCGAAGGGCACGTTTAGCGGGCATGTTTGAAGAAAGGGACATCTTTGTTCAACTTGATCCAGAAAGGTTGGCTGGGAAACAAAGCGTTGAGTGGGCGATAGGCTTGGGACTCGAGACAAAGTACTTAATACAAATAATTAAGGGCGATGTTCCTGGAATACTCTGGTACCTGTTTTTAATTTTCCCGAACTACAGCTTCATCAGCTTAAAGGCCGAAGGATTTGGCTGACGTCCCCATTACAGCTCTTTTAGCATTTGTCCAACCACAGTGTTCTGCCTTTAGCCCGATTAATGGCCAATTAAGTTTTGGCAGGCCTCCGAACTTGGCTTATTCCGAGTAATGGGACGTTTTGCCGCTTACTGGCGCAATCCGATGGCTTTCAGCTGGCACGGCACAGAACAGAATCCAATCAAAATGAGCTGCACAAAGCCGGAGCCGCCTTGCCCGCTGTCCCTGGCATTGTTTGGCCGGATGTCCAGTGCCCCTGCACTTTTAAGGACGGACGTTAAGGTCCTTAATGAAAACTGTCAGACAATGACAACGATTTCAATCGCAGTCGCCCGCATCCATTGATCGGGGATATAATTATTAATATTTCATATAGGAAACAGTCTCCGGGCTGGGGCTCATTATAAAAACATTTAATAAAATTGCGATTAAATTCGCAAATAAAAGTGGCGAAGTGGGCGGGCGAGTAACGTTCAACTAATTAAGTTAATATGCCGAGACAGAGGGGAGTCGTAATTTATGGCCATTTGCATTTACATCGATTTCTGGATTTCTGGAGGATTGGTTCGGACGTCGTGGTCATGGAGTTAAGGCTTCTTTCATGTCCACGTCGTCCATGATTCAAAAGTGTCGTGCATTATGCAAATTAATTTAACTACAAAAAACAAGGCAATATGCAAAAGTCCTGCAAAAATGGCAAGCGAAATGAATAAAAATAAAGGGAAAACCTCACCAGCGCGCGGAATCAAATAAAACGAGAAAAGCGACAGTGCAATCATATCTGACACTGCGAAATTAAATCAAATAAAACATTCAATGTGACCGCAGACAGAGACAGTTATAAGCGGGAGAAAGAGAGAAGCATAGGCGAGTGGGAGAGAGATAGACAGAGCTGTTGGCAATCGAAGCCGTCTAGTAAATTAAATATTAATTACAATAAATAAAATGGAGTGGACAATCGGATTTCAGCGAAAGAGTTTTCCAACAAAGCGGCGCCACTTTAAATGGACGGGGAGTTTTCCTTTGAGCATATAGCTTATACAAATAAGCTTGAAAGCATGTTGTTTCATATATACCAATTCTGCAATCTTGTTTCTCACTTCTGACACATTCTTAGGAATTTTGCACTATTTAATCACATATACTTGTCCGACTTACGACTTAAATACTTACTTCCTTAGCCATTTTCCCAAGTGCTTCCCTTTCAACCTTTTCTGCAAAGTCCACCGCTCTTGAACTGACCATATTTTCAGCATTTTTTCCACTTCGTGCTGGGCGCTAATCGATTTGGTTGCAATTTTAACACCTGGCCCAAACGGCCATAACTTAATTGCCTAGTTGACATCATTGTGTGCATGCACACATGCACACACACACGCTGGCAAACACGCTAGCCGTGTAATTTTAATTGCACATCATCAACAGCTGGATGGAAAAAAGACGTATGCATAAATTATATGCATTTTTCATATTATATTTTTTCCGCACTCTAATTCTGGGCGAATTCGGTTGGGCGTGTCAACAAATTTGCTAGCTATCAAATTAAAGGCTGACGAATGACGAGTGACGAGTGACGAATGGAATTCCGTTTCCCAATTGGACCGGAAGTGGCCACAAAACGGTCACAAAGAGTTCACAGCTGGGTGACAGGAGCATTGTTCTGGATTTCCAAATGAAAATACGTTTGAGTTTTTTTTAATGTTTTTTACACTTTTATTGAATTCATATTTGGTTTTTCTGATCGAATCTCTCGTCTTTCGGCTCAAATTGCATGGTTTTCACTGTGTGTGTGTGTGAGTGTGTGACTGTGTGAGTGTGTGAGTGTGTCAGTGTGCTTGTGTGTTAGTGTGTTTGCTGAGTGGGCATGTGTGTGTGAGTGTGGCCTGGTAAATAGCTTTCTTAATTCGACCTTAGACCTATGCAATTTAATCCGTAACTCTTGTTCCACGTGATGGTAGGATGCCATTCTCTTACCCTTTTTCGTAATTATAGTTATTATGAATTGTAATATTTCAAAGTGTCCCGTTTCAAATGGAACAACACACATATTTTCCATTGAATACGTCATTTTTCTTATTTAACCACATTAAAATTGTTTGCTTTTGACGCCATTGTTTATGCTTAAAATTGTATTTAACATATTTACTTTAAAATTGTTTTTGCACTTCACGCACTTTCTGTTTACGTTTTCCTTTAATTAACTCTACCAAAAACAAAACACGCGGAAAAACAACAAAATAACAAAAAAGAGTATAAATAAAAACCATGACAAAGAATGGGGAACAACGATAAAGAGAGTTTCATCGAACAAACATAATAACGGGGTCAACACATTTTTAATTATCGCTTATCATTTACATATTTATATCGGTTTCATTCAATTACAATATACCATATATTCATAGGTTTAGCATCTGCAACATGGACTTTATTTCACCTTATTTTATACATAGAAATTGTTGTCGTTTCGATTTGTTTCTTTGTTTCTCTTTTTTTATTGCACTCTTGCTATGCGCTTTTTATCTATTTCGGTTTGATATTGAATTACATTCAATTTGCTTATAAACATTTAAACACTTGTTTTTTGTTGAGTTTTGCTTAGACTAGTGCATGCGGATAGATGGAGAGGAAAATCAAAATACTGACAGATACATTTACAAATACATCAACTTTAAATGCGCTTGCAGCTCCCAGCGAAGGGGAATTGCATCTCGAATTCTGGTTGGGATGATGCTGATATTGATCCTTGGACAGGTTGCCTTTTGAAAGGAGCTTTATTTCTCGATTTTAATGGGGTTTTCTGAACTTGTTTTGGTCTTTAGTTGGGGTCTTCAACATACTTTTAATTTGCTAAACCTCATCACATTCATAAAATATATCCTTTTGGTTTTCGTCCTATTTCCCAACCTCCGCTTTATTATAGTTATGCACACTAAGTGGTACCATCATATTCATATTCATATTCGTATTCATATCCATATTCATATTCATATTCATATCCATATATTTACGCTTAGTATGGAGAGTATTCTTTCGTTTTTGTTTCATTTAGGAGCGAAATCGTATGAGATGTATCCAGTGCCTGGCTCACCAGATATCTAGGGGCTGGGATCGGGATAGGGTTAGACCCTTCTCTGGGGTGGGATCGCGGATCTGCCGCTGCCTCTGATTCGGGGTGGTGTTTTTTCAGTGTATCTCTAGCATTCCACTAGCTGGGCTTAAAGTTACAGTTACTGTGTGTCAGGGAATGGGTTTTGCTGCGTCTTCATCATTTCTTTGGAGAGAGTCAGTTAGAGATTTTTAGAGAAATAGAGAGAGATAGAGATAGCTAGAGAGAGACACTTAAATACTCGACTTGAATTAGCGATACGCTTTATTGGATAGTTGGTTAGTTCTCTATGTCAATATCTGCTCTCAATGGCAATTGGTTTTAGCCATTCGTTTCGTTTGTCAAACATACAACAAGAATTAATATCGCTTAAGCCCTAATACATCAAAATGCCCTATATATGTATAGGTAGAGATTATTCTGATTTGATATATGGGGAGTAGCCAAAAAAACAAAAAAAATATCCATAGACTAATTATGCTGATTTGTTTAGTATGTACACATTTAAGTCAACAATCCATTGCTACCTTAGATAATCTGCCATCCGTTTTAGCTATTTTTCGATTACTCCACTCATTTCCTTACATTTTACTATAGTCTTGAACTTAAGCTAGTTGTAAAAAAAAATCATTATCTTTATCGTACTTAGACTTGCTGCAAATCGCACGTCTCGCAGTTTCCCATCGAAACTTCAATTTGCAATTTTTTGTAATATGTTTAGACACCTATAGCTTATGCTTGTACTAGAGAATGTGGCTTGTGTGTGTGTGTGTGTTTGTAAAGTTGTTGCCAACCGAAAGAAGTTAAGTAGATGAGAGTTCAAACACTCGTCGCTTCCGTTTACCAGTTACTAATCAATGGAAGAGAAATCTCGCGTCAGTGGCTCTATGTACAAGGTGTATTAGTTATTTTAACCTGCCCCCATAAACAGGCTCAATTTGAACCCGAGCATTACGAAAACGATCTGCTAGCCTGCAGCTTCGTTCTGGCTCTTACTTTGTATCTCAATGTCCATCTGGGGGTCCATACTGGTGCCGTTCTTATCCCGCTGCATTAGCTATCTTTGGTTAGTTTCGGAAAAGTCTGATAAAGGTGTGTGGTGTTTTCTGCGGACCAAGTCGGGCTACTTAATTTAGTGATAACAGATAAGCTCCAGCCCGCTCACAAAGTCCGGTGGCGGCGGAGCAAGGGGCCCACAGGTGGGACGAGAGAGCAGGACCAAGCCGGAAACCGGAAACCGGAAACTGAAAACCGAGGGCCGGCAGCCGGCAGCCGGAAAACCAGGAAATCAAGGAACAGGGGCGGGTGGTGAGCGCAGAGAGGGCATCCTAGAATGCGATTCCTGTTGGCAATTCGGCAGCGTGTCCGGTTCGCGATCCATTGAAGAGCTATGTCCCGGGCACCGGGCTCCACTCGACGCCTCTGCGGCGAAGATCCTGCGACTCCTCTACCTCCTGCAGATCCTGGCAGTTCCAGTTCCGGGTGCTTCGTTGTCCTCTGGCCTTCTCCTTGGCGAGCGTGCGTGCCTGGTGGACGGGCCGGCGGCCGGGGGGCGTGGCCGGGACGTGGGTGGAGCAGCTGGCCACCAGCTGGAGGAGCATCAGCGTGCTGCAGGTGAGCAGGACCAGCGGCAGCAGGACTGGCGGCTGGCTCGCCGTGGAGTTGCCATTGTTGCCCGTGTGCATTGCCGCCGGATGCTCGCCTGGAATGAAACGGAAATGGTCAGTGGGCGGGCACGACTCATACTCTTAAACACTCATACTTTTACATGCTCTTGTATAAAGTTGTATATTCTCACCAACTCCTTCTACTTGTGCTATTTAGATAGCTAGGCGCCCCAAAATGCAGTTTACTGTAGAAATGTGATTGACTCACAAGCCAGCTAGTTTGCTGCCAAGTGAGCCCATAAATTGGCACGAAAATGTCATTCGGATAGTTGGAAAACAATCAACAGCCCGGTTGCGATGGCAATCGCCGCAGACCAATAAAGTCGGCACAAGAAGTTAATTTGGAAGCGGACTTGCAGTGCACTAAAGGCGAAAGCCCATTTCGCAGATCCAGATCCACTAAAATACATTGATTCGCAAGCAGACGAGCCGAGTGGAGTGGAGTGGAACGTGGATGGGGATGGTGATGGGGATTTTGGGCCTGCAGCTGTATCTGCATCTGCTGCTGGAATTGGCCTCCCCCTGGAAAATCCAGAAGCTTTATTGCCTATTAACTTAATTGCCGGCAATAAAAACGCCAAGACTGGCTAAAAAAGGCGAGTGGCGGCAACAAAAAACAAGAGTCGCATTCAAAAACTGCCCAACTACTTGGCGGCACTCGACTAGATGGGTCTTTTTTCTGCCAGCGGAAAGGTGGTTCGGGTGGATTGGGTGGTTCGGGTGGATTGGGTGGCTGGAGGCCCGGATGGCAGATAGGGAGCCATAAATTTTGGCATGAAATGCGCGAGAGTCTTTCGTCGTGGCGGATACTATAGCTCCACAGCTTCTGTAGCTTCTGCAGCTTCAATTATCATGCATCGTTCGTCCTTTACGAGTTCGTTGATGCCCATCATGAGCTGTTACTTAAGAGTCCGCTGTATCTGTGTCTGTCTCTGCGTCTGTGTGTGTGCCTGTGCCTCAGTGTGCGTGCCAGCGCACAAGTGTGTGTGACTGGGCCGCACTGTGGTGCGAAACACCTTGTGAAAGCACTCTCTCCGCCAGCAGAAAGTAGATTATAAACAGATTTATTTATTATTAGAAAATTAAATAATAGATCTTTTGGCACAATTTTAAGCCCACTTAATAATAGCCATATTGCCATGCACTCGTAGGTTATTTTCAACTCTGGTCACAAAGTCTGCGCCACTGTTCAGCACTCAGCTCGTTTCATTTGTGCAGCACCACGTGCTACACGCATTCCAAAAGTTTTCCACGCCGAATGCTAAACGACAACGCCAATAACTCGACGCAGAGCGGCTCGTCCAGCGTCCCTAATTACTGCCAGTGGCGGGGAGTAGGGAGAGGGCAGCTCCTGGTTGCCCAGTTAATACGGTTTGACATAATTAAGCGTCCGCCGTCCTGCGTCCTTAGACATCATCCAACCAGACCAGGACCAACTTGCAGAAGACAATGAATCGTCAGTATCCAGTCGCCATTCGCCACTTATGACAGCCTCAGTCTCATTCGCAGTTTTGGCATCGGACTTTGAGTCCTTTGAGTGCGTTAAAAAGCAAGCACTTGAGATAAAAGCGCCATAGAAAGTACACTTAATTGGATTGGGGCTCGGATTCTGTGTGGCCCAGTGGTCCATGGACTTCAACTTGACCGTGGAGCTGAGGCAGCAGTTCAATTAATGAAACGACTTTGATGTGCTGCTGCCCACAGCCCCGACTTTTGTGTGTGGCTAGGTGTAATGATCGTCTTAGATGGCCGAGAAGTCCGAAACGGAAGTGCACAAGTAGGCGTAAGCGGCTTTGTTTCGGCTTTGAAGTGGGCCAAATTATCAATAATGCAACAGCCGAAGGAGGTGAGTGCAGGGTGAGAAACAAAATCTAGAAATTATCTGAGGCGGCTAATTTACTTAGATTGGGGCCTCCTGCCTTAAATTCTCCCAGTGTATGCCAGTTGCAGGCGGCCAAGCGGTCAGCAAGGACGAGTTTGGTCCTGCAACGCTGAACTGGAGGTGAACTCTGGGTTGAGAGTGGAAGTGGCAAGTCAAGTCGAAAGCGAAAGCGAACGAATGAATGAACTCGAGACGCAGTCGAGACAATGAAATGAAAGCACGCTTCTGTGGAAACTGTAGGACATCAAATTAAATGCTAAATGCATTTGTCCGCTCGCTTTCTGATTCGCAGGAAGTCCAAAATCTACAACGGGCTTTAGTCAAACTAATGAGCACAACTCACGAAAACGGCAATTAATTTTGGGAGCTCCTTGAATGCAGTAAACTGGAGCAGATACTGGGAAAATCGCTGGCAAAGTGTTGCAGCAGCTAAATATTTAATATCACACCAAACGCAAGCCGAAATCGAATAGCTGACAACATTGGAGCATGAAATGGAATCCAGTGCGACTTTCAGCTCGAAATAAGATGCCAAAAACCTGCTCGACTCCGTGCTCTTGATTTCCTTGCCGCCGAAAGCTCATTTGCCGACTTAGGCATGCCTCGCCGCTCAAAGAGTTCGGCGCCACCGGAAGGGGATGTACTTGTAATCCCGCCAGCAGCCGCACCCAAAGGGGGCGCTACCGGAAGTGGGCGTGCTCCTCTTGAATGCCTCCATGTCGATTTCAATTTGGCTGACAAAACTGCGGCAGAGCTGCACAAAATATCAAATTAATTAAAATGGAAGTGTACTTTTCAGTCATAGCTGCGAAACTTGTGAAATCGAACTGCTTTTCTGTAAAAAGCGTTCGATTTTGCTCGCATAATTCGCAGTTGCAGGATACATTTATATTTACTTATTTGTATGTGCTTTATTTGCAGCTTCCAAGGCTCCATGATTGATGCAATCCACTTGGTTGCCGGAAAATGACCATTTCGTGATCGATCTGTTTGATTCCCTCTTCGCCGCGCAGCCGTCGGATATTTTTTATTAAATAAACTACTTGGGTGGTGGGTGGTGGGTGGTGCTTGCTTCTGACCCCCCGCCCACGCAGCACCCCCCCCCCCCCCCCCCCCCCCTGGCATCAATACCCACGCCCTGCGGCGCTTTTGCCCGCAACGCTGAGCGCAAACAACTTGTGTTAATTACTTAAGTTTCAGCAGTTGTTCCACTTAACAAGTTGCTTCTTCTGCTTCTTCTGCTTCTTCTACTTCTTCTTCTTCTGCCACACTCGCAGTTGTTGTTGTTACTGTTATTTTAGTCTAATTCCACGGCGTATTTGTTGTAGCGTGCCGCTTACACGCCAAAGTCATTTGCGCTCAAGTTGTTAAACTTTTTGCTTTGTAAGCGCTTTTTTCCGGCCTCAGCGGAAGCGGCGAACGCCGGGCGGAAGTTCAGGGGGGCGGGGTGTGGGGGCGGTTGCTGACGAAAAGGGGGAGTGGCAGCCAAAAGCCGGGGAAGCCCGCTGGCGAAACAGAGAGAGCGGCGTCTGCGGCATAAACGAGTCAAAACTTGCGCAAATGTTGATGCTCAAAGTTTTTCCTAACTAATTTTCTTTGACTTCGACATGTGCGTGTGTGTATGTGTGTGTGTGTGTGTGGAAATTTGAGATGCGGCAACAAATTGAGGAGATCTAACTTGCGCAGCCAATAGATTCACACATTTATGGAATCATAAATCACAAAGATTAGCCAGGCAGCATACGTTGTATTATAAAATTAATATCTGTGTATCTATGTATAAACAAAACTTAAGTAGTGAGTAAACGATTTTTAGCTAAACGACTTTGTAGTGAGTTTTCCCAGCACATTTTGCTCCACGCCCATTCGACGGAGCATGAGACTTAAAAGCAGATTGCTCATACGCAAAGTTGCCCAAGTTGGCTAATTGTTGGTAGCACCCCCGGCAGTTTTCCCTCCCCCCAAAAATCCATCCAGACTGCACGAGCTTTTGGAAAAAGTTGTCGTCAATCACTGGACGCGCTCGTCTGTCAAATAAAGCCAAACAAGCTTAGTTGACTTCTGGGGCCGCACATTTGTCTTGCTCGCAAAGTGACCCCCAGTCCTGCACTGCGAGAAAAGTGCTCGAAATCGAAGCAGTTGGGTTGCTGGCAGCACTTTTGGCTTCCCAGCCGATCTATTGCTACGTTGACTTGGCCATTTCCCTCGGAGCAGTGTCCTTGGAGTGCAAGGACAACCAGACAACCAGACAACCAGACAGCAAGGACAACACTCATATTTAGGCAAGCCAAAGCGTTTTGCATACCGGGCTACTCACCATCGACGATATGCACGCGCACCGTGGTCGGGTTGGCATTGGAGGGGGTGCATGTGTAGAGTCCCGAGTCCTGGGTGATGGCCTTCTGCACCAGGAGCCGGCTGGTGGTCAGCACACCTTTCTCGGTGACTAATGATATGCCGCCGCGAGGTGAATCGAAATTTATGATCTGAAATAAATAACGCCGACGGGGGACGGCAAACAGCTTAAGTGCCAGGAAACACAATGTGTTTTTTTTCTCTCTTTCTCTCTTTTTTTTTTTTGGTTTTTCTGGGTTTTCAAGGCAGCTGGACTAGATTGCTACATTTCCAGTTTGTTGTGGGTATAATATTTGGGTTTGTGCTCGTGTTCCTTTTCGGGATGCTGGGTGCAGAGCATGTTAGTTAAATTTTTATTAATGACATCGTGTTAGTCAAGCCGGCTGCGCTTTGGCTTCAAAGCTTCGTTGTGCCAGCAACTCCCGAAAAATAACAGAAACAAATAACAGAAAAAAAATGGAAACCGGCAACAGCATTTCCTTGACATTTGCACAGGCAAAAAATGGAGAAAAGTGGCCAAATGAGATTGCGGCTGACCAGAGATTTTGTACCTTGTTAGGATAGGGACTTGTGTAAATATTTGTTGGCCAATGTGGAAGGCTTAGACTTTTCCGAGCCCCCTTCATTGGAGCGAAATTGAATACTTATGGTTCCATTACTAATTTTATCTACTCTGGAAATTTGGCAGTCTTACGCCAAAGGGTTGGCAAAAATATGACGAGGGAAAACAGAAATTCCCAAAAGGCACCGAACAAAAGGTAACGTAAGAATCCAAGAACCCTTATCAAATGTAATTATCGATGCGGCTTTGAGCCCCGCATTATTATATGATATTATATGGTACTTGGGGTCAGCCATGAATATGTTAGCCTTGCAAATACGTGCACATGTCAAATGGTTTCGCTGCGGTTTCGCGGTATTTATACATTTTTGAGATGGCTTCTTGTGGACTCACCTCGCGGTTGTGGGACCAAATGACGGTTGGCGGCGGTTCCGGTGCGAATTTCACAATGCAAGTCAGATTGATGGTGGATCCGCGGTTGATGTGCAGCTCGGGGCCGCCGATGATGTCGGTGACGGGCTCTGAAAGACAAAGGAGCAAAAATGAGATATACATTTGGCCAAGGAGGGGGAAAATCATTCCATAAGCTGCGGCGCACACACAAAACGGCGCATAAACCATTTTGAAAGCTCATTTCGGTTAAGCCAGAGCAACAATAAGAGTAAAAAACAAAAAGTACACACACACACACAAGAGATGCGCAAGGACATTAGGAGTCGTCCTGAGCCTGTTTGAGAAAAGTTTATCTACCGTTGCGTTAAATTGTTTTCTTTCCTGCTGCGTAACCTAACCCTCTAAAAACTGGCAGCACCCACTAACCAGAAAAATAAAGAAATACAAGGAAAACCATGTGTATTTGACATCTACACGTTTGCTTGCTTTCTTATTCATCGTAAAACAATTTGTGACTTCCGCGTAGGGGAAAAGCGGTCAAAAACTCAAGGCTGGCTAAAAAAAAGTAAGCTCGAATAAATGCAAAGTGCCGTCGGAAAAGGAGGAAAATATACGACAAAAATGAGAAATGGGGAAGAACAGAAATCTCAAATTCAAATGCTGGCCAAAGTAAACAGCAAATTGTGTCATTAGTTCAAGGACATTGATTGAAATCTCGGTTGGTCGTAACTAAAATTGGAAATTCCCAACTTCTCCCCCAGACACTTTCAGAAATTCTTCCGTGCAGTGAGCGAAAAAGCTTGCCCTCCAAGTACAATTTTCCATTTGGAAAATCAGGCTAGCTTATAAAGTGCTTACAGCACTAGCATTTAATCTTTTCAACACTTAGTCCCTGCGCAATATTGGTTCCTTTCCAACACTACAAACATTTTAGTTCTGACTATTGTTTTTAGTGCATATTCTGTATAGAGCCTTTCCTGCTCTCTTCTCTTGTTCAATGCTAATAAATTGGGATTTCTTTGCTGCCTTCTCTCCTTCTCCTTCTCCATCTCTATCTCCACATCCTTCGGCACCTCCCCCTCCCCCGCTCTCTTCGCCATTTTGGGAAGCAGCAAAATGGCTGCTTTAGCGCTTCCGGTTCTCAAAGAACTTTCGGCAGTGTTTGTGTGCGTGTTGGAAAGTGCAGTTACTGTAGTCGCTAACGGTAATGTGCTCTCTTGGCTGAAAACGCCGCTAAAGGTTAGTGAAAGTTATGTACTGCCGAATGGCTGCCACTCGCCCAAAGAAAGTGGGCGGCTGGTTAGGTGGGCGTGGCATGGCGCGGCATGTGTCGGCGGTTTTCCTGCTCTTCGCTGGATTTTTTCCCTTTTGGGCTATGCCCCATTTTGCTATGCATCTCGTGCTCGTATCTCTCAATCTCCATTTGAAGTTCTTTATGCTCCGCAGTTATCTCTCAGCGGCACATTTCCCCCTCGACCCGCGTTAGTGGCACATTTGCCAGAGATTTGATCTCCGAGTAGTCGGATACTTGGATACTTGGATACTCGGATACTCGGTCAACCTGATGTGCAGTTAACTCTGCGAATAATCCGAGCTCTTCTCACAAAAGTTTCGCTGCATATCCGTGCGCCACAAAAAGTAACTCAATGGGATTTCAGCTGGGAAATGCCTCGCGAGTGCCATAAGCAAAAAGTTTGTAAAGTGGCAGCATTTTAGGGCAAAATTCAGTAATCGAAAAATGCAAGAGGAAGTCGCTCTACATGGATATGAATACAAACTGGCTAAATGGCCTAATCTAATTTTATATAAAGACTGCCATTAAATGGTTAGCCGATGAAAGAAGCAGTAAAACCAGACATATGCACCACTTTCAATCGCTGCGAGTATTCAAGACTGCACTTGGCTTTAAAGGCGGGCAAAGCGAAGATCCCAACGCCCAGGAGACTTCAACTTGTTGAAGATAATTTTCGCCTGCACTTTGAAGTGTCACCTTGGTCTGGAAACTTTCACATGCCTGAAATATTCAGGCGAACGAGCACTTGCCTTCAGTATTTTACATTTCCCCCTGCACGGCCTGCATGGCCTTATTTATTCCCTTTTTTGGTGCCACCTACGTTGGCCGCCAGCTTTTATGGCAATTTAAACTTTGCCGTTCGCAACACATTAAACTTATTGATCCGAAACTGGTGCGGCAACGGAACCCTACGGAATTTGGCCGGCGCCTTTAAAAACAATGCCAAAAAGGACACGGCAGGCGGGAGGGGGCTGCGTAGAAAATTGCGGGTCATTCGGCACATGTGGGCGTTATGTGTGTGCGCCTGGGGGCCTGGGGGGCGTGGCACACGTACGCATGTGTGCAGCAAGTTAATATTAAACAAATATTACGCATGCGACACAAGGGAGCAGCTGGAAATCATCAAACGCTTTCGCATTGTGTGTGTGAATGTGGTTGTGTGCCCTTTGACATTGCGAATGTGTGTGTGTAGCGCCAAGAAGTATGCAGCAGGTTTATTATTTATGCCATTCATGCGGTAGAGCATTCAAATAACCCGCCATATCGGTCCGAACACCCCACGCCATCACTTCCACATTCCAGCAGTCCGGCAGGAATTTATGACCTTTTTACTTTTAATTTGGACAAGATGCGGGGCGCTATCTGGTGGGGAATTCCATTCGATCCGGCCCTTGGAGCATTCGGAACGGATTATCTCTGCTCATTTTTAGTTCTCCTTCGGTGCGCCAAGTGACCCCATCCCGTGCCCATCGCCACTCACCGAATCCGACTCCATTCCAACCGAAGCCGACTTTCAGAAGAGCCCTTTAATAGACCAGCAATCAAGCCACCGAAATAAGTCATTTCTGAACTAGAAAGGCAGAAAGTATTACCCATACTTGCGATGCCACCGTCTTGACCGCGACTGTACTGTACCTTGCTCTGCGCCAAGTGCGTGACCAGACTGCAAACGGCAATGGGCGATGGGCGTTGGGATATTAGGATAGTCCAAAGGGCTGGGCAGCAACTTCAACTCATTAATCAACGTAATTTGGAGTCCTTGGGAGTGTAAACGGCGCTTATGAATGATTCATGGTCCACTTGGGTAGCGCTCGACCAGGTCTTCCCCCTTTCGATTTGGGTAACTACTATTTGGGCGCTCTTATCGAATTAGTTGCTGCATTTGCGCCTTGCACTTTGATTAATCGACATGTCAGCATTTGAGCCTAATTTGCAACTTTTATGCCGTAGCATTCGAATGTGATTTATGGCCCAAAGGCAAATATCAAAGTCGCACACACACACTTATTGGCAGATTGGCGAAACAGCCCCCGGAATGGGCCTCCGATGGGCCCTGTCACTTAAAGGCATGTAAATCACATAATAAATTTCAATAAAAAGGCAAATAAAAGCCATCAGACGTGTATGTGCCCAAAAATGATTCACAAAAGGTCGAATTCACGAGCAGCCCGCATTTCTGCTTGTTTACAAGCTGATTTTTAATGCCTGCCGAAAAGCATTCGATATTTGATATGTGCCTCGACTTAAGATGTCTACGGAATGTCTAGGAGCTTGGGAATGATTCCATTCCAGTTGCCGACGGCTCCTTAAATCACTTCATTCGGGACAGACCCTAGAATATATTTGCTAATATTCAGGTTCTCATTCAACTTTAAATTAGTAGTTCAGCACTGAAACTATGGTATTTTAAAGTACCATACATACTTGCCCTATGCCCTCTGCCAGTCCCAAAAACGCTCGCAATCTTTAATGCGCACCATAAAAGTGTCAGCGTTCCGGTGCGGAATTTTATATGTTTTCTTTGCTGTCATAAAGGTTAACGTAATGCCGCCTATAACAACACACAAGCACCCACTTAGACAAAATCGGGGGACGGGGCACGCCCACTTTGCGAAGCTGAAACTGAAACTGAAACAGAAACTCCGAAGGCAGCAAAGGCTTACACGCTCATAAACCTTTATGCGTTTTCAATTGAATTGTCCCGAAGTTTTGGGCGGATCCCGTCCCGACCTTCATTTTCCGTCGACTGTGGGCAATAAAATTTGTTGCCGTTGTCGCCATTGTTCTACGAGGCGCGATTTTATGATACCGCCAACATATTTCAACTTGGCAACGAGAATGAGCGAGATTGCGTTCAAAAAAGGATTTATTTAGAGCACAAAATGTGCTCAAAAATATTATTGCCTGCTTGTGGACACCTTAATAGGTGATTTAGTGCATGCCTCTAGTGATCAATATCATCCGACTAATCTTCTCCTAAAATCCGCTGGCAGCCAAGACTGCTGCAAAGTATTGTTCGCCTCGAACTATTAGCCAATTGAAATGCTAAATGGCCAATGGCAAAGTGGTCCCTGGGCAGAGCGCAACAAGCTCTTTGGCGGGAACAATGGGAACACGGAGGACAATGAGTTGGTTGCCACGCTCTGTGGCACGTACACGATTCGACGGTTCAATAGTTGATTGGGCAACGGCTTATGAACTTGCCCCAACACATGTATACATATATAAATGCGAGCTGCGAGCTGCGAATTGCAAATGGCGATTGGCGAGTGGCGAGTGGCGAATGGCGAATGGCGGATTGCGAAATCGACTTTTGTCCGTTGATTGACTCCGCCTGTCCGAACAATCGGGACAAAAGGCAGTCGTGGCAAACAGCTTGCAGTTGACAGGATGCAAAGCCAGAATCTATCAAGCGTGCATTATAAATTCAATATGCATCGCACACACGCGCCCGAGCTCCATGCATACATATTATACATGGCACTGGAATAAGCGATGGACTCGATCCGAATGCAATGGAATTGATTTGATTTAAGCCCTTTCTCGTTTTAATACGCTTATATTTCTGCACTCCGCATTGCAAAACAAATCAAGGCTTAACTCCAAAGGTGTGCAAGCGTGCATTTTAGGTCTGGGTTGCTCCATGATTGTACTAAGTCCCAACAACTACTTTTCTCCGTTGACTGTACTAGTATTCATTAACTATCGCCTCTACTTGGCGACGTATGCTGTCTCCCCACAAATGTAATGGTCGTACACTTCTGTCGCATAAACCTTCTGGCGCTGGGCTTGTCCAGGAAATTGACTTGAATTATTTGGCATTTGGCATACGGCATTCGGCACCCCACAAGCCAATAACTTAACCGGCGATTGCTAAGCCACCCCTCGAATCGCCCAATTTCATGGCGGCTGTCGTCAGTGACAAATGCTAAAAACTCACTCGCCCACACTCCACGTGGATTCGGGCGGGTTTCGTCACGATGCTTTCGTCACGAAGCCAATGACAGACGGACGCACTTTATTTGCTGGCATTTGGCATAACAACAAGGACGAATGCCAACGTTTAGTCCTCGACAAGGATACTCAGAGTTACACTTGAATGGAAGGGCTCAGAGTCAAATTGATATTTATAATATACATATACGAGTATATATAAAACAAATTGTTTCGTTACTAGGCCAACTCAAGCTGCTGTTGTTAAATAAACGGGTGAGTTCTGGAAGGTAAAATACCCAGCTGAAATGACCGCAAGTATACGTTACTTTTTCGAGTGCAATGGACTCCGTTTCAGGGTGTGATCTACAGTCAAAACCAGAATAATAGCTTAAGCTTGGGCAGAAATGCGCCGGTTCGCTGGCAAACAACCGCAAATGTGTTTGTGCGTGACTGCGGGCAGGGCCACGCCCCAGTTCGGAACGCCCCCCTTCCGGTATCCATCCATATCCGCTCCGCACATCCCATATATACACACATATATATGCACACATACGCACGAGTTATATGTAGATATATATACCCCACACGAACCCCGAAGGCAAAGTGTTGAAAGTGGAATTATGTGTGTTTGTGTTGACATTATAATAATGGTTTGGTTTATGTTTATAGTCTGCCTCATGCAACCGTACACATGTTCGTCCTTGCGTCCTGTCCTCGGCGTCTACAGCTATTCCGATTCAGGTTCTGATTCCGATTCCCATTCCCATTCCCACTCCCACTCCCACTCCCATTTCCACTCCTCTTTCAATCCCTAGCGCCCATTGCAACATTTGCTGCCATGTCCATGCCACATGTCTGTGTGTGCTTGTGAGCTTTGATTACTATTCAAATATTGTGACAGTGTGAAAAATAAACAAATTTGCATTATTTATTTTCATATTTGCTTCCTTGCCCGCCCAAAAATAAGCTCCATCTGCCACAACCCCGCAAATTCTCCCATCGTCCTGCGTCCTGCGTCCTCCGTCCGAAAAGGGAAACGGAAACTTTTCGCACGCTTCGCCCGCCAGAAAAGTTTGCTCGTAATTTTTCCAACAATTAATAAAACAAATTATGCATTGAAAAGTGGCGGCGGGGGGCGTTGTGATTTAAATAAGATATCTACAAAGTGCCTAATGTCGAAAAATGTCTGCTATCTGGGCTTGTTCGCGTTGAGAAACATATTAATTGATTATGATTGAAGTTTTGGGAACTAGGGAGCAAGCTAATTGCTCCAGGGCCTCTTAAAGTGGCATTATATGCATATGTATTTGGGTTTTCGAAGGAGTAAAGAATTGTATGCTTCTATTGACTTTAGGATGTAGGCACAGTTGCTTTTCCCTTGTGAAAAATATATGACGGATCGCTCTCAGGCATCCACTTTCCGCTGAAAAAGTAGCCACAGCTGCGGTCATGACAAAGTAAATCTAAAATACGCAAAATATTGTGTGTCGTGTCATTAGTTTGCGGCGCCTCAAAGAGATGGCAACGTTTTCTTGCCAGCGCCTTTTTGTGCCGCATAAGTTGTGATTTATGAGCCGGGGCAGCCACACCGCAGCCCATCCCACTAGCACCGACTTTCGCCCGGTATCCCCAGTTCATAGTAGCCACCATCTCAGATCATCACGCGCGTCCCCTGGTCGCTTGGCTGCTTGGCTGCTTGGGTGCTCATCGGATGGACCAGGAAGACGCTGGATGGGCGAAACTGGGTGGCGGCGGCCTGTGAAAAGCCATAAAGTGCAAATGGTGCCCAGGGGAATCATCAAACAGCAAAAAGCTGCCATAAAACGACACAAACATGTGCGCCACACCAACACCGCGCGCTGGAGTGGAAATGCTGGATGTGGCTGGTGGACTCTAGGTGGCAGGATAGCTGCGATGCGGCGATGCGGGGATGCAGGGATCAGGTAGCTGAAATGGAGACCCGGAAATAGATACCCCATCAAGTGGTCAGCATTCGCTGGCACGGCGGTGTCTGTGTCTGTGTCTGTGTGCCCACCAAGCCAGATTGGATATCAGTGTAAACATCAAAGTAGTTGGCAAATCACTCACACGTAGCCAACTAAAAGCGTGGAGCTTTTGGAGCTGGAGGGCTTGGCTAAGATGGTCGGCGGTGGTGGGAAGTGGGAGTGGGGAAAGGAATGTGCGTGGCATACAAATTGGCGGCAGTTTTGGGGCCACACTGAGCGAAATAACGACGCCGCTTGATTAACTTGCCAGTGGAGAGGGAAAGTGGAAATGGAAATGGGCATTAATAGAATAACGAGGGGGCAACCCCCAAATGAAGTTGGCTTTCTCGTTTTGTAGCAGCCCCACAATTTATGTTATATATATATTTGCATGGCTTCAATGGAAGGACTTCATTGCAAGGACTCCTGCGTAGCTCCAATTGAAACTATATGCACTTCTGTGAAATTAATTTGTCGCATGCTGGCATGCGGTTGCAATTATATAATTATAGCACAAACAAATGGGCTGCAAATCATAATACAAGTGTTATCCCATTTCAGACGAATACATCTGCGCCTACTCACCAACAATGTTGAGGTAGACGGAGTGTCCAATCGGGGGCGTGGTCGATATCTGGCACTCGTAGATGCCGGAGTCCTTGCGCTGCGCGTAGCGTATGCGTAGTGTCCAGTCCTCGGCGTGCGGCGAGTGCATTGCCTCGAATCTCTGGTCGGAGGTGTATGTGTAGCGGCCCACGGTCAGCAGGTGTATGTCCCTGTGTCGCACCCAGGACACCTGTAAGGACGAAAGAGGGAGAGAGGCACTTAGTACGGCGTCTGGCGAGGGGCAGCCTCAAAGTGCAGTGCCAAACTGACTTTTGGGGCTTTTAATTGCGCGCTTAGTCATCGATTTGACTTCTGTGCGTGTGTGTGTGTGTGTGTGTGAGGCTGTGTGCGTGCACGATTACAGGACATCCTCTCCGCCACACTCACACACGCACAACAGCCACAGGAGAGCGTCGCACGATAAACAATTTAAATGCCAAATTGAAATCGAATGTGGCTGGCCCACTGCTTACACCGCAAGAAACTCTAGGGTGCTGCGTTTCAGATAAATAGTTGCATCGAATTCTTGAGGTTCAAAATGACTTGCAAAACAACCGCGCTGCTTCCCGACTGATAATATAATTATTATTCCCAATTATTTGGAAAGACCATCGATTTGGTTTCAGTGTCGGACTTGCTGAGCTTAGCCAGCGCGCCGAAAAGTGCAGGACTCGATGCTCCGCTATGCTCTTTGAGTTTTATGGCGAATCAGCAGCCCCTCGACGGCTCTTAACTGTTGGCCATAATTACGCGCCGCTTAACTCGCTGCCAGGGGCGTGGAAAATGGGGGGGGAAATGGGGCCTGACAAATCAACAAACGCATCGCATTTGGGGTGCGGGTGGGGGAAAAAGGATTTCGGGCTGCGGCACGTTGACAGCGCCTGTGGTCTGTGGCAATGGCGCGAAACAATCGCATGCCGAAGTGTGTGCCTGTGGATAGGGGCCGCCATTGAGGATTTGGGATTTCGGGATTTCAGAATTTCGGGATTTCGGCGTTTCGGCATTTCCCCGTTTCGGCGTTCCGGATTGTGTTGACTTTGTCCCACTGCCCGCATTTACATACTGCGTACCACAGTGTGCCGCTGACCAACTTGCAACGCCACATGCACAAACGCCCAGCTTCTGCATGTTTAAATGCGAGCTGGAATCGAACATTTTGCATGATTGGCAAATGGAGCGGCAGCTGCAGCAGATGTCCTTTTCCTCTTCCCCCTCCTGCTCCCTGGCACATTTTCATATTTCCTGTTCGGCCACACTCCCAATCAAACGCTGCGAGAAATCACTGCATATTACAGCCAATTGCAGTAACAAAATTCTGCTATTCCCATTTTATTGCATTCTATTGCCAATATGAGTACCGAGAACCCAGTAGTCCAGATATTATGCAAAGGTTTTCAGCTGCAGTTCGGATGTACAAAAATGACTCTTAATTGTTTTGCTCTCTGCAGCCTGTCACATCGAAGTTTATTCGTTTTCGTTGTCCTGCCAATTGTAATTATTTCAAGGGACTCTGCCCGTCCGTCCTCTATTTAATTGTGCTTTTGTTTCAAAATGCAGCTCACTCGAGTGCACTCCAAAGTGCACACTATGCATGTGTGAGTGGCTGATTATTTGTTCCAAGCTGCTGGTTTTACGCATTTCCACTCTGGCAACTGAAAATCCCAGGACTCGCAGCACTTCTTATTGCACGTTTGAACATGATTGATTTCAGTGTGGCCAGCCTGGCTTGTGATGCTTAAGACAGCACACCAATGCATTTTCTCGCACTATAAAATGCAATAGGTATGCATTATTAAAGTGATTAGTTTCAGAGTAGTCTATTTTCAGATACTGCACTCGCAACTAATGACCCTAAATTTGGCCTGTTTAGAGCGTCATGTATTTTTTAGCTGTTTTACTGTTTAACTATGCTTGGCTTAGTCATTACGCACAGTTGGTAATTATTTTGTGCGGCTTTTGGGTCTGTTAATGAATTTGTTGTGCAATTTGCACCCTGGCAATCATCAAGTTGCATTCTGGGCATTCTGTGTGAAGGCAATTAGATAATTACGACAACATTATTGGCAAATTAATTTTGATTTTATGCGGCGGATGCAACACGCCAAAAAGAGGATTGCACATTGTGCCCAGCCCTGTTTCCCCGCCCTGCCAACACTATACATACTTGTATATACCCTTACTGTGTTGCAAGTGCGCATTTTTGTTGCATTCAGCCTGGGATTTGTTGTTGCCGATTGTGTTGGCGGCAGGCCAAATGATTTGGCAAGGAAAATCGGGGATTTTGCGATTGCCTTGGCCCATTTAGCAGTGCCAACATAAATTCCCAGCCATATAATATATAATGAAATAATATCCAGGCAGCTCACCTAATGAACACGATATTCACGATTGGTATTCAATTTAAAAGTGCACTTTCTAGCCATTTGATAAGGTTTACCTACAGCCCGAAGTCATGTGGCAAAGGGAAAATTTAAAACAAGTAGATTAACTAAAAAGCAAAGCTTTGCTCCCGAAATGCTATTAAAATATATAAAGGCAAACGCTTAAGCTGCTAATCAAAAAATACAAATTTTTGCATAGTCAAAAGGAGTGCTCAGAACGGAAATTGCATTAATCGTTAGAGGCAAAAATACACAAATATTTATGCATAAGAGTGGAAAATTGATGATGGCAACCTCAAAGTGCAGGCTTACAATTTCCCAAAATCTCGATCCATTCAGTTGTTCTCCACAGTAATTGGCGAAAACTCACTCACATACACGTACATATGTACGTTCGCAATCCTTGAGCTCGCCAAATATTGTTATGCATAAATTTGATTGCATTTTGATTTCAGTCGGATTCGCTCGAGTCCCCGCCCCCCTGCCTACGGACTCCCTTCATCCCAACTGGCAAAGCAATTTGTGGTGCTTCAAAAGTGATTTCCGCTGCTCAGTACTTCAAAAATCGTAAGGGGTTCTAGTTTTGTGCCCCATCTGAAGCCATTATTGTGTGCTGCAAAATTTCCATTCACTTTCCGATTTTGATTCTGATTCTGATTCCGATTCATCCCGATTGCAAGAGCAGTAGCATCTGGCTTTCGAGGCGCTCCAAATGAAGTGACCCACACGCCAAAAATCCCTGAAATCTGCAATCCCAGCCGAGATTCTCGAGCCATGGCATAAAACAGTTGCCGGTTACGGCCATTTCAAATATGCCTCTGGCTTTTTTGGCATCCACGGGCTTGCTGCTCCTCGTCCGCCCACTTTCCCGCCACCTTCCGCCCACTTTTGTGTGCCAAAAGGGGCGTGGCCGCTGGCAGGCCAACGACAGGAAGCGAAAATCCAGCAGCAGCAGCAGCAGCAGCAGCAGAAATGAGCAAAATTATGAGTGCAGAATTTTCTAATTTAATGTGATTATTATTTGCACTATCTTGCCGGGCGAGAGCAGGGCTCAATTTATTTTGCACAATTTTCTGGCCAACATCACGGAAGTGTCATTAGTCAGGTTTCTGTGCCATCGGAAACGGATGAGATGGAGAATCCGTGGGGGGATCGGGTTAATGCAGCTTTGGAGCCATGGAGCTGACAAAATATTTGGCTTTAAGTCTGCAATTCAATTAAAGCAAGGTAAACACGGCAAAATGAATTACATGTATAATTAAGTGTACTTCAAAATGGGTTTAGTGCATGCCTAAAACCATCGAAACATAGTGCATTCCAAAATTCAAATGGAATTGCGCTTTATTTAAAAGGATAATCATACCAATGGTGTACATATTAACATTTAAGTTTATTAACACTAAGCTGAATTAGTTTTTTTTTTTTAAATAAGACACAAGGTTTCACTTCAATTGCAGTAAATTCACATCGCATTAATTGCGATGCTCCAAAAGGGCAGTAATAAATTGTTATTCCGACGAGCTAGCAAACATATATCATATAGCAAGAAATAATAATAGGAAAAATATGCTTTGTAAATGGCAATCATAAATGTAGCCTTCAGTGAGGCAACAATAATCCAGAGGATTGTTAGTCCCGGGAACTTTTGAGACACCTTTTTCCCCCGTTTCCGGGAAGGAGATGGCCGAAATGACTTGTGAGTTTTGTGTGTTTTGTGTGCTTTGTGTGTGGGGGTGGGAAAATCCAACGGGCGAAGGTCGACCTGTGCCACCCCCTGTGCACCCCGCAGTTGGGGGTTTTGGCACTGATTGGCACTTCATTTCGACTGCAGTCGGACTCGCAGCTCGGTTGCCAGGTAGCCAAGTATCGCCGGGTATTGCCAGCTAGTCCCAATCAGCAGCCTCTCACGTGCAGCGACAATGGCAACAATAAACTAAGCAAACAACTTGGCAAAACAGCCGTGCAGGCAGGGGGGAGTAAAAAACGCGGGGCTGGGCGTGAGGAAATACGGTGGAAATCGGGGAAATCGGGGAAATCGGGGAAATGGGGCCCACAGAGTGAGAGTGCAAAGAAACATCTCCTTACATATTCAACAGCAAGGACATCTCATAATTTGCGCTCGTTTCCATCGCCCAAGCTCGGCGCAATATAAACCAACTAAAAAGTTTCACGCAGCGCAAACTTTTAGCTTCCCAGCCACCTAAAAAATACAAAAAAAATGCGGAAAAAAAGGAAAAACCCACTGGATTCCCCAGTAAATGAAAATAAAAGCAGAGCAGAGAAAAAATCGAGCAGCCGTGGGGTAACAAAGTGTCGCCCAAGCAAAGAAAAACAACCAGCGCGCAAAGCGTCGTGGCAAAAACTTGTCAGTGCGGCTTTGGGGACATATGAAGCACATACCGCAGTCCCGATTCGACTAAGGAATTCAAAACCCCCTAAAACAAAGAAGCAAAAACGCTCTTCTAAATTCCCCCTGCCCCCTGCCCCCCGCCCCCCGCCCAGCCAATCATCAGACGGGCGGAATCCTGAGACCTCCTAATGTCCCCGTTGTCCGTGATATGTGTGCCACCGAAAAACAGGAGCAGGAGCGTAAATTAAAACGAAACGAATCGCAAAATACTCTAACAAGCCAATAATACATACTAGTACTTAGTACTTGGCACTTGGTACTTGGTACTTGGTACTTGGTACTTGGTACTTGGTACTTGGTACTTGGTACTTGGTACTTGGTACTTGGTACTTGGTACTTGGTACTTGGTACTTGGTACTTGGTACTTGGTACTTGGTACTTGGTACTTGGTACTTGGTA